GATTTTTGACACAGAGTCTGTACATAGGATAGAGACCCTGTCAGATAGGTTTGTCCTGGAACTCCTTGTGTGTAGACTAGGCTGGCCTTAAACTCAGAAATCCACCTGCCTCTGTCTCTGAGTGCTGCTATTAAAGCCACCGTGCACTGGTTTTGTTTTATTTAAGGATCTTGCTACACAACCCAAGCTGACCTTGAACTAGAGGTCCTCCATCCACTTCCCAGGGATTATGGGCACTTGTTATCTCATAACCCAGGTTGGTACCAGATTTAGTGTACAGCAGAGGTGATCTTAAGCTCAATTGCTTTGCTTCCGTCTCCCAAGTGTGACTACAATAGAAACTCCAACTTGTGGTAAAATGTATAGAACACAAAGTTTACTATTTTAACCTTAAAGTACATAGTTCCTGGCATCCTGGCATTAAGTACTTGGTGTGTTTTGGTTTTGACTCATAGTTGTTTAAGAATAGTTTCTCTCTCTCTCTCTCTCTCTCTCTCTCTCTCTCTCTCTCTAGCCAGAGGAGGATGTCAACTGTTCTGCTTTGCCATTGTCTACCCTATTGCCTTGAGACAGACTCTCCCACTGAACTCGAGCTAGGCTGGTGGCCAGTGAACTGCAATGACCCTATTCTGCCCCGCCCTCAACCCTAGTGCTGGGTTACAGATGCCCAATGTTACACTTGACTTTTTTTTTTATATTTATTTATTTATTATGTATACAATATTCTTTCTGTGTGTATGCCTAAAGGCCAGAAGAGAGCACCAGACCTCATTACAGATGGTTGTGAGCCACCACGTGGTTGCTGGGAATTGAACTCAGGACCTTTGGAAGAGCAGGCAATGCTCTTAACCGCTGAGCTATCTCTCCAGCCCTACAGTTGACTTTTTACATGTGTTCTAGGATCTGAACTCAGGTCCTCAGGCTTATGCAGCAAGTACTCTTATCCACTGAGCCATTCTTCAGCCCCTAGATGTGTTTTCAGATTTCAAAAATGGAAATTTTTGTTGTTGCTGTTTTGAAACTGGGCTTCACTCAGTAAACATCCTTTGTTCAAATAGGATTTTAAAAGCGTGAATTTATATGTAATTATCATATACCAAGCTGGCCTAAAACTCACTGTGTAGACCAGGCTGATCTCAAATTTACAATAATTCTCCTTATCAGTCTGCCTAGTGCTAGGGTTATGAGTGTTAGCTGCCACATTGGGCTCAAAAATGAAAGAGATTTTTGAAAGTTATTTTTTGATGCACTAACTTCATTTTCCTAATGATTGAGAGAAGTTTATGTAAGTCCAGTTCTGTGTATGTGTGAAGATTCCCTTTGGTTATGGAAAGCTTGTGTTCCACCTCTGCTTGATGGGATGTAGCACCTCCAGCTGCCTTGTGTTTGTTCGCTCTACCCCACTGGGTCATTTGTTGTTCTGGTGTTTTCTCCTTTTCAACAGGAGTCCTCAGAAGAGCTCTGTGGTAGTCGATGCATTTCTCTAGCGTCCTCTGTGGTGATTCTGAATGGCTGGCCTAGCAGACGTGCCTAGCAGAGGTGCACAATCTTCTCATTTTACTTTTAATTTACTTGGATTTATTTTAATAGCCACATGCGGCTAGAGGCTATTGTATTGGGCAACTCCATTCTGAAGACTGGATTTATTTTAATTTGAATGTCCTCTCAGTTGATGAGAAAACTGTTGCAGTCTTCCCCTGAATCTTGTGGGAAATACTGTTTTTGTTTGCCTGAAAATACCCTTATTTTGAACATCATTCTTTCAAATAGGATCTTACAAGCATATACTTATATCTAATTACCTTGTACCAGGCACTATTTTGAGAGTTTTATAAATGTTAAAATTACAGCAATTACGTTCTGTCTCTTTTCTTCTGTTCTGTCCGTCTTTTGTCTCCTGCTGGGGATAGTTTTCATGTGTTATCTTTTTTCTTAAGCACAGAGTGTAAGTACCGTTATGTCACCATCTGAAGATGATAATTTAAGTATCTTACGTCTATTGCTCCAGCTGGTTCTCTCATCATCGTTATCTTTTCTTGGGTGTTGGGCTTATCTTTTGTGACACTGGTAATTGTGTGAGATTATTTGTAGGAGTCATTTGGATGCTGGGGTCCTGCCTAGGTCCTGTGGGCAGTGACTTTTGTCCTTCACTGAGCTATTTTGGGTCCCTGTGGTAAAGGAGGGTTGATCCAGTAGCTCAGTGAAGCGGTCTCCACTGCTCAGTCACTTGGCTTGATCTCTGACCCTCCTGCCCCCTCCTGTTCCTATCAGAGACATCATGCTGACTTCTGTGGAATGTGGCACTTCCGTAGGTTTTCTTCTGGTTTCTTTTCTTTATTAGATATCCTTCCTGTGTCCTATTCTTGGGTTCTTTCTCTTCCAGATCATTAAATAAGTGTCCCAAGGACCCAACTGTACCCTTTTGGCCTCCTGCTCCACATTTTCCTGGGCAGTCTTGTGCACTCAGAATCTAGTCCCAGCCTGCTGTCTCTCTCTAGGTGCCTGTGGATATCTTCTAGCAGCCTGTCTGTCTGTTTCATCCTGTACAGTTCCGTCCTTCATGCCGGAGACACCTTGGGTCCACGGAGAGGAGGACCATCTGCTTAGAACATTCATGGAGACCAGTCAGGTTCTCCTGCCCCACACCCATGCCAGCACCGTGTCTGTTTACCCTGGTCTGTTGTCAGCTTTTCCTGGCAGGTACTTGGCCCTATTCTTTTATCCAGCCCACCCTAAAATACAGACAGGACCACATCGTTTCTAAGCTTAAAATCCTTCCACAACTCCCCATGGTTTCTTTTTTTTTTTTTAATATTTATTTATTTATTATGTATACAATATTCTGTCTGTGTGTATGCCTGCAGGCCAGCAGAGGGCACCAGACCCCATTACAGATGGTTGTGAGCCACCATGTGGTTGCTGGGAATTGAACTCAGGACCTTTGGAAGAGCAGGCAATGCTCTTAACCTCTGAGCCATCTCTCCAGCCCCCTCCCCATGGTTTCTAAGGTATAATCACTCCCACTTCCAATCCAAGTTCGGCACAGAAAGGCTTTCTTTCCCTCCTGCTTCCAGCCTGGAGTGGGAGACTCTGTGTGCGCACTTGTGCTTAGCGCTGTTGATCCTTCCCTCTTCCCTTTCAGTGAACACTCCTTCTTTAGGTCTCTTCATGGTCAGCATCTGCTTTTTCTTCAAAGAAAGGCATTATTGTCCTCTCTGGACAGGCTGCCCTGGGAGATCTGGAGGAGAGAAGAAGGAACCCAAAGCTCAGGTCGCTACAGTTTCTCATTCTCTATATTTGATCTACGTAGGTCCTGCTCCGTGCTACTTTTTCTCTTTGCTTTGGCTTCAAGGGTCCCTCTTTTCCTCATCCTATACTAAGGTGAGGAAGGGTATGGGTATAACATGCAGAAAGGTAGTTGGGCAGTGAGCAGACTTAAGTGCCTGGGATGAGGTGCAATCTGGTGTCCCTTCACCCTGTGATCTACTGCTGGGGTTACAGCCTGCTGCAGGATGGAGATGTTAGACCCCAGGCTTGGCTTGTGTCACCTGATTCTTAAGGGTTGTTAGAGCTGAGGCTAAAGCTAAGGCGGGAGTAAGGTTTCCTACAGTCCGCAAGCCTTGTCTGACTTGCCCACATGGAGTACACTCTCCCATAGAGGACTATGAATCAGATGCCTAGCCAAGGGCAGCAGGGCTGAGGGTCTGTCCTCTGAGGGGAGCCAACCTCTGCAGCAGCTGATGGGGGAGGGTTATGATGCCTGAGCCACGGGTGACGCACGCGGAGCTCATATTCCAGTGTGTGTGTAGGCGGGAAGGAAGCAGACTCAGGAAGGATTTATGCAAACATCGTGTCTTACAAAGGTGTGTGTGTGTGTGTGTGTGTACGCGCACGCGCGCGTTAAAATGTCAAAATCCCAAAAGGTAGGTAAGGGAAATTAGAGACATTCTGGAGCATTCTTTCATACCTGATATTCACCTCAGGCTGGGCAACCACATCCCCCATCATTTCTCTCCATTTTCCCAGGGTTGCCGACACCGTTCAGGCCCCACACACCGTACATGTCAGTTATTTCCTCATCACTGTGACCAGATTCCTGATAAGAAATAACTGAAGGATGGAAAGGGTTAATTTTGACTGTGCTTGGAGAGGTCGTGGTCCATCGTGATGGGGACATTGGCAGAGTTCATGGCAGCTTCAAGCTTCTTGATGGTTCAGGAAACAGAAGTTAGGTCGAAACTGGAGTCAAGCTATAGCCCATAACACTCATCCTATAGTGACTCACTTCCTTCGTCAAGACCGTATCTCCCAGACTTTCTACCACCTCCTCCAGCAGCACCACCGGCTGGAATTGTTCAGATTCCCCAGCCTGTGAGGACATTACGTATTCAAGCACAACACTAGGACCTTGACTCATGCAGTCACTTCCGTTCCATCATCTCTTGCTTTTTGCACCGGGGATGCTGTAAAGGGCTACAGTCAGGTGAGCTGCTACGGTGACCACATCCTGTTATGACAGGTGCCCTTAGGCTCAGGTGGACAGCTGCCTCTTTGGAGGCACAGGTAAGATTTCCCATCAACATGCATCAAAGAGGAAGCAGAATTCTGGAACTCAGGGAGTGACTCAGAAACCAACCTTGAGTAGCCGCCTGGTGAGGACAGCCTGTCTGTCCCAGAGAAGGCACACAGAGAGGAGCACACACTCCTTGTGGAGGGAGCTCCCAGGTGTGTGCAAGATCCTGAAGGTGGCCCTCAAGGTTGCCTTGGAATTGTTTTGATTTAATGTTGGAACCTTTGTTGTCAATTTTTAAGATGGGGTAAATGACAGTTATTCTACAGATTTGTTTCCATATCTTGCTTTAAGTAAAGCCTGTTGAGTTTAGCCATAATAAGTGTGTAACTGACTTGATGAAGCAATATTATTTTTCAACTCAGTTAAGTAATTATATATAAACTTGATTTAAAGTGTTTCCATCTTGTCTCATCCCTTTTTTCAAAAGCACCACCAAAAAAGGACATAGACGGAAAACCCGAACAACAGACTGGGACAAGAGAGACTGACAGGGTGCCCACTGGCCCTGGCCCCGACCCTCGACAGCAGCCTAGTGCCTTATTTGCCAGAGGAAGTAAGAAAGCAGCCAGAAGCCCCCAAAGATCAGCAAGCAAAATAAAAGAGAACAAGCACCCATTTGCTCTGTATGGCTGGGGAGAGAAACAGATGGACACGGGGAGCCAGAAGACGCACAACGTCTGTGCATCAGCCCCTGTGCATGAGGTGTGCCTCGGAAGGGCGAGTCGAGCCGTGGCTGCTGATGCTCTGGGCCATGGGAGGTCCTCGGGTGGTGTGGGGTCCGTCGAAACCAAAAGAAGGGGTCTAGGAAGATGGAGTAGACGTTGGTGGACTGGGGCCACAGCCAGGAGAAGAGGCAGATGTTACTGTGGTTTTTGAGTTCTGTGGCCTGGGCCACAAGGGAAAAGCATGCTGGGAGTTGGAGCCATCCCCTGGAGTGGTCTCATTTTCCCTCAGCTTTGCTAACCTGAGGCTTTCTCCTTGGCATGTCTGACTACTTGGCATCTTCTGGGTACCTCTGTTTCCCTTTTGATGAAAATCAGCTTGCTGCTTTCCTATGTGTATGCAATGGTGTTTTGTTCTATGGAGCTCCAATCATTTGACTCAGTCTTGGCTTGACATTCTCTCAAGTCCTGAGATATTTTAGGCAGGGTGACAGAGAGAGTATGGTCCATCTTGAAACGGTTACTGTGTTAGCACTAGCTGGAAGCCAGGGATGTCCGAAGAGCAGGCAGAAAGAGAAACTGCAAACTCAGTTTCCCTGTAATGCCAGGCAAGTGCCCAGAGCAGCTAGGTGGCAGATGCTGTTTATTTGAAGTGAAATCTGAGACAAGGAGGCTGCTGTTAGCAGAGGGTTCTGACCAGTCTCTGGGACTAATTTAACAGTGTGCGTATCTGTCACAGGATAAACTCTCCTGACAGTTTTTCTTGTTTTATTATTATATTTTGAGACAGGATCTCATGTAACCACAGGCCTGAAACTCACTACCTAGCTGAGGATGACCTTGAATTTCTGATCTCCCTACCTCTACCTACCAAATTCCGGGAATACAGGCTGCACCTGCACTTGGCTGTCTCCATTTTCCGTGCAGTGTTTTAAAGCCTTGTCAAGAACTCAGACTCTTTTACGTGTGCACTGTGGAGGAGTTCCCACAGATTTCCAGAGCTTGGTGTGGTGGCATGCCTATATCTCAGTGCTTGGGAGGCAGAGACAGGAGGATCCCTGGAAATTCATAGCCAGTCTGATCTGTGTAGTGAGTTCCAGGCCAAACAGCTACATAGCAAGATCCTGTCTCAAAAAAGCAAAACAAAACAAGTTTTGCCAAGTTAGTCCTAGATCACATGAAAGTTAGATGTTTGCCGTTTCTATCTAAACTTTTATTTTTAAAAAAAAATTTATTTTTAGTTATGTATATGTGTGTGGGTCTGTGTGTGTTAGTGCTGGTTTTCAGAGGCCTGAGGTATCAGATCTGCTGGAACTGGTTACAGACAGCTGTGAGTCACCCAGTTTGGACTCTGGGAATTGAACTTAGGTCCTTTGCAAGAACAGTACTTGTGCTGGCCTCTGAGTGATCTCTAAAATTTAATTTTCTGTGCTCAGCATTGCTGTCATTGGTAACAGGGTGAATTGTGGTGGCAGGATGGTTTATTCTGTGAAGTGCTGATGCCATAGATTGGTAGGACTTGACTCCTTGCTTCAGGGAATCAGGCTAGTAATGTAAGATAGTCTTGTGTATCCCAGGCTGGCATTGAGCTTCCCATGTAGCCAAGGATGGCTTTGAACTTAAGATCCTCATGCTTCTACCTCTTAAGTGCTGAGGTAACAGGTGTGTACCGCCGTGCCTAGGGATAGAGCCCAGGCTTCATCTGTACTAGGCTGCACTGAGCTGCGTCCCCAGACTTTTAGTTAGATATCGTTCAGAATTGGTCCTTTAGCCACTTAGGCTACTACCTTTATCTCTGAACTTTCTTTAGATTCATGAATCTGCACTTCGAGCCAAGAACAGAAGACAGGTGGAAAAAAGGAAACTGGCTGCCCAGAGGCAGCGGGCTCACTCCGTGGATGTGGAGAAGAACCGGACGGTAAAGCCAACTTCCGCAGAGAACCCATGGCTGACGGAGTACATGCGGTGCTACTCAGCCAGGGCCTAGATGCTGGCACGCCTTCTTTCAAGTGTTTATGAGAGAAAAGGAAAACCAAAACTGCCCAATGAGACCACGCACGGGTGGCAGAAATCAACTGGTCCTGCAAGGCTCCTCTTAGGAATTGTCAAGAGATGGTTTTGCTTTCGTGATGGTTCGTCACCTGCCTTAGTAGTTAGGGCAGACCCTCGAAGCCATAGATGTTGGCTTGTTTATGAAGACAAGTCCCCAAGTCTTGATATTCTTGTAAGAGTTTTATTTTAAAGATTTTAACCTTTGGAGATACCCACACCAAATGCCTTTAACTGGCTCTAGGCGCTCCCCACCACACCCTCCTCTCGCACGGATCAGCACCACATTCCACAGCTGGCAGGGGCATCCCGTCCCACAGTGCAGGGCTCACAGGCACGACGTCTGTGCAGCTGGCTCCAGGGAGCAGCAAGGAAAGCAAGGGCTCAAGCATGAGACGATGCTGTTCCCGATGAACTAGGACTTTGGCAGCTGCTGAGCAATGACACTGGACATTTCATTTCTCCTCACCTCCATGTAGACTATGATATTTAAGAATTTTTCTGGCCAGAGCAATGGTCACCTTTTCTTCTTAAATTGTCACTTAGACATTCATTTAACTTATAATTTAGTAGTTCTGGGACATTCCAGTGAGTGACGTGCCGTGCAGTCACGTGCAGTCCGTGTTTAATGGTGACATTTCTTTTAACTGCAGCATTCCTCGTTCGAGCACACAGGGTAGAGTCAGCCGCTCGTTAAGTCTGACCTGCCAAGCCCCTCTCCGGAGAGAGCAGACGGTGACATGGAAAACTTGAAATTCGAAATGACCTTTAATGAACTGAGTTTGCTTGGCCTGTGGGGATGGGACCAGCAGACAGCACGAGTGTGCCATCACCTCCCTTCTGTTTTCTCTTCCGTAGACCGGGATGAAGGAAGGCTTCATGATGCACGGTGCTGATAGTGTAAGCAAAAATGTGACGACTTGGTGTCTGGCCTGGTGATCCGAACTATGGACAATAGGGCATGTGCCAGCCTGGCTGAAAATGTCCTTCCTCTAGTAGAGGACAACTGTCAGGGTTAGAAAGATGGCTTTAAAAAAACCTAGGTTTCCATGAGATGGGTGCCTTCTCCATCCTGCTGAAGGGACGCTCAGAAGCCGAGCACCATGGTCTTCCTGAGAGGCAGGGAGATCTTTTGCCTGCACCCGCTCAGCAGCTGAGTTTGCTGGGTAAAACTGGGCGTGTGGCTGAGCCTTTCCGCGATATTTTTCCTTTGGCTTTTTGAGTATGATAATTTCTAGAACACAAACTGATTTCATTCCATATAAAATCGTCACACGATGTCATCCTAAAACTGTATGAAGCTTTGAAAATGCATATTGAAGAATCATGAGTGTTTTAAAAAAACTTTAAAAATATTTGCCTATTTTGTATAGACCCTTGTGTACAGAGCCCTCCCAGGGAGGTGTGTATTTAATTAAAGAGTAAGATCTACATGTTGTCCAAGTTGTCCAAGTACAACCTTGCTCATGCCTCTATTGACCACATAGTCCCCAGGTGTCACACAGGCAGGGTGACTGGGGCAGTGGCCCAGTTTGTTGAGTATTACTCTTTGTAAAGCTGTGCCTTGAAGGTCTGTGTTCCCCGCCCAGCCCTCTGTCACCAAGTTGCACCCAACAATCTCAGAAAGAAGGGGGGGCGGGAGGAAGGACACAGGATCCCCACCCTGGCCTTCAGACATGTGCAGAAGACACACACATCCTTCTGCATGTGTGGTGAAATACAGGGTGAGGCGTGTTGAGAACCATGCTGGTGTCTTTGCCACCTTCTTTTTACACAGAGCACAAACAATCAGGACTTGGGGGAATCTTTAATGTTCAAACACCACAAGGAAGTGCGTATGGATTAGCTGTGACTCCCACACCCGAGTCCCTAGTGTTTAGGCTTCAATTTTTCTCCCTTTCAAAAGGTGGTAGTTACCTTTTAAGCCTATGAATTTTTTTTTTCCAAGACAGGGTTTCTCTGTAGCTTTGGAGTCTGTCCTGGAACTAGCTCTGTAGACCAGGCTGGCCTCAAATTCACAGAGATCCACCTGGCTCTGCCTCCTGAGTGCTGGGATTAAAGGTGTGCACCACCACCGTCCGGTGAGCCTATGAGATTTTTAACAAATCGATCTAAGCATCAGCATTTTTCCTTTCCTCGGAGCTAATACAGGACACGTTTCAAGGCAGTGAGATAATTTAAAGTTAGCTTCCATGCTGGAAATGTCTGAAAATGTTTGAGAATACCATCATATTTAAACTAAATGATAACAAGTCTTTTTAAAATTTTGATTTTAAGGTCTTAATTAAAAAATGTTTCCATAAGTGTTTTGGGTTTTTATGCTACTTTTACCTCAGAGCTAATAATAGAACACTGAGGTAAGGATGCCCCGTTCTGCCTGAGTGACGAGAATGGGGAGAGAATAGAAATGTCTTCTTAAACTGTATGTTGAGAAGACATCTGCGTACTTAGTGTTGCTTATGTGTTTGCTCCTCCGCTCCACCCCCATGGACTCTCTAACATGTTTAGCCATGGTCAAGCTACTGAAGGCTTCGTAGGTGGTCTCACCTGCTCACGGTGCAGCAGCGCATGCGTCTCTTGGTTCCCATGCAATGTCTTTGTCACTGTGTTTCGTTGAAAGTTGGCTGCTAATTCAAAGGTGTTTGCTCAGGTCACAATAACTGGACTGTATTGTAAGAAAAGAGAGCTAGCAAAGGGGCTGTTGTTGAAGGCGTTGTTTCCAGACTTAGCCTACGTTCTGGGAATGTAGCTCGGTGATAGGGTGTTTGCCTGGCGTGGAGGAGGCCCTGGGGTCCCCACGTGGCGAGAAACAAAGCAGCAGCCAAAGAGAGTTCTGCCCAGCTTTCCGATTAAAAACGTCTTCAGAGAAAGTAAAAGGAATGAGACTCCCTGACACTTGCGACAGCAGAAGTAGTGTGGATAAGAGCGGGAGAGGCTGCTTTCCGGGTGGGTTCACTGCTCAGGAAAACCAGGAGAGCTGGATGGTCTACTCACGGATAAACTCGTGCTATGCCATGGCCAATTCTGCAGTCACCTGGCCCAGGTAAGGTCTTTGCTGTATGTATACTCCGTGTGGTATAAATGCTGCCCTTTCAACATGACCTGGTCATTTCAAAATGCCTGCTTCTGAATTTGAAGTGGAATTGGAGTCTCTATGTAGTCTTGATAATCCTGGAACTCACTCTGTAGATCCGACTACCTCTGCCTCCCAAGTGCATCCGCCTCCATGCCTGGTTATTTTTCTTCTTATTAAAGACAGGGGCTCATGTAGCCCAGGCTGGCTTTGGAACTAAGTAGCCAAGAATGACCTTGAACTTTCTGCTTTTCTTGTCTCTACCTCTCAACTGCTGGGATTACAGGTATATATCACTACACCTACTTAATGTGGTTCTGGAGAGGGAAGAATCCAGGGCTTCACTCATGGTAGGCGGTTACTCTGCCAAGTGAGTTATATTTCCCACTCTTCAAAACAGGTAGACTTTAGGTTGGCAGCTACTACATATTTTTTGCTACCAACTCTAAAAGGTGAGTGAATAGCATATTGAGGTCTCTGTAAACTGGTCCACCCATCATTTGTATGTCTCTATGAATGTCTTCCCTCTTTAACCTAGGCTTGTACAAGACACAGTTACATCAGGCATAACCACAATATCATGAGGTGGCTGTTCAGCTCCTGGGGCACATCCCTGCAGAGCATCTCAGATATGACCCCGTGAGGACCAGCTGCTCAACGGCCAGGCTTTTCTAAGACGTCAGAGTCAGCACTGTGGAAGGTGTCCAAGAACGCAATCTATGATGGTTTCCTAGTACCTCTTCTTGTAGGAAAATCTGGAGAATCTGGGGGGATTCTTGTATTCACTCCCACAGGATGGAAGCTGGAGTTTGTCAGCCCTCAATCCTGCGTTATACCCAGCATCCTGGATTTCTTAAATAATAACAAATTTGTATTTAGGAAAGTTTCCCCTCATTCTAAGCTTACGTTGAGTGAGAAACAACACAGGCTGGGTGGGCAGGGCTATGGCTTAGTTCACACTGCTCCTAACTAGCATACCAAAGGAAACTGAACCAGCGGGGGACACAGGTAGGGAAGGTCCAAACAAACACAGTGTCTGGTTTTAGTGTCTGGAATTGACGCTGAATTGGGATCCAGCTGACAGAAGGCAGGTTCAAACAAGGTCACCTCCACAAAGTTAAACCCTTCAGCCTCAGTGAGGCCAGGGCTGTACCACTCAGCATCCTAACTGGGAGGCTCAGGAGGGAAGACCGCAGATATTGATATAGACATTGAAATAGCTCTAATGAGCAACCAGAATGCTCTCAAAGATTAGAATGTGGATAATGATGACAAAAAGAAGTGAACAGGCAGATGTGTTGGGGGACATCTTAATCCCAGAATTGGGGAGGTAGAGGCAGGAGAACTGTTGCAAGTTTGAAGCCATCCTGAGATCCACAGGGAGTTTCAGGTCAATCAGAGTTACAGAGCAAGACTATCTCAAAAAAAACAAGCTCTAAATGAAAATACTGGAACTGTGAGCCAGCACAGCTGGATAAACTCAATGGCAGGATGGAGACGAAAGAGAATCAGAGATGAAGAGTTTCATGGGGGCCTGTGGCATGGGAGATGGGAACGACGATGAAGGCGTTCAAAGATGGGAATGAGCAATGGCTGGAAACTCAATCTGATGAAAGATATAAAACTAGAAGGGTCAAGATGTTCGTGAACTCCGTGTGGGATAAACTCAAAGGGATGCACTGAGCACCTGCCATCCCAGCACCGGGGGACTAAGGCAAGAGGATTTGAGTTTGAGGCCACATCTCACACAAATACCCATCCGGATGCACCCTCCTCAAACTGCCGAGAACTAAGATACCAGGAAGTGCTCAAAGAAAGCCACACATTGCACTGACAGTTTGAACAATGACACATTCTTCATGGAGATCGTGGAGGCCAGAGCGAAAAGAAACATGTCACTTGGGAATTCTGTAGCCAGAGCGGGGCATGTTGGTACACACCATAGTCCCAGCATGAGGGAGGTTGAGGCAGGACCGCCATGAGTATGGGACCAGCTTGAGCTAGAAGGAGACCCTATCTTAAAGGGGGCATCTGAGAAGACTACATTTTATAATGAGATAATACTAAAGACTACATTTTATAAAGAGATAACATTAAAAGTGTTTAGCCTAAAAGAAAGCAGGTTCAGAGAAGCTGAAAAGCATTTTAAAAATGTAAAAGAAACCAAACATATCTATGTATGCAGTGCCTTCTCATGTTTCCATGTCAACAGTGCTGTGAAGATGCTGAGAATTCCTGGGACCCACGTGACTGCAGTACGTGAGCATCACACCCACAGAGTGATACAGGTAAGTGGAGACAGCCTGTGGCTAGCAGCTGTGTCGGACTGAGGCAAAGGCTGTGTGAATGGGCCCAGAGTTGGATGAGTTGCCTACAAATAGGAATCTGATGGGATTGGTAAGTTCAGGGTAAGAGCTGGACACTAGAGATAACAGGTGAGAACCGCCACAGCGCAGGAGAGCCTGGTGATGATGAAGAGCCAACAGTCAGGAGCTCCAGCTCCCTTCCCCCTCAGTCATGCAAACTCCCAGGGACACAGCATTGCCAAGACACCAATCCTGTTGTATAAAACAAACCTTGCCAGTCAAAAAACAAAAAACTAAGATTATGCACTGTATGTTTGTGGCTGCTGTAGAATTAAACTAGAAATTCATGACAGAATCTGGTCAGGTGGACATTAAACAGCACACACAGAAAACATTGCCGAAGAGAAAATCTCAACGATGGAGAATGTTTTAAATAAAAGAGAAATGAAGTTTGGTCATATTAAAGTTTGCACAAGAAAGGTAGTACTCAGGAAATATTGCTTGTTAGGAAAACAGGCTTTCCTGGGTGTGGTGGCACACGCCTTTAATCTCAGAACTCTTGACCAGACAGGCAGGTAGATGGATCTCCTTGAATTTGAGGTCATCCTAGTCTACATAGTGAGATCCTGTCTCAAACAAAAACCGGGCCAACTTGATGATGATATGTAGTAAGTCATTTATGTGTTCAAGAATTGCCGCAGAGGAATTTTGTGTGATCCACCTCTACCCTGTATCCACTCCAGCCTCTCTAGCTCCAGATGCTTTTAAGGTCATGACCGCCTCCTGCTGTCCCAGTGTACTGAGATTAGAGAAGTGTGCCACCGCACCTGGCAGAAAGACAATGTGTGTGGTGTGGAGGTGCTTGCTGGGGACCGAATCCAGGCAGGGCCTCACACACGTGGAAGGAAGCACTTCACTACCAAGCCCAAGGTTTCCTCACAAATAGACTCCTTTGCTAGAGGGAGTGAGTTTGCTGAAAATGACTATAAAACAGTGTAAGATGTGGAAGAAGAGGCACCGATGCCCTCACGATGGGAGACAGAGTGGAGGTCGAGGGTGATGTGGAAGCAGAACAAGATGGGCAGGTTGACCTGGCCCACGGCAGCTCTTGCACTGACCTTGGCTAAGAGCCTTGCAGTCCACAGAGCAGGACAGTGCAGTGTGCGTGAGACACTCGGTTCCACTTTATTTCCAGATGACAGGGAGTCCTTGAGGGTTAGCATTTCAGGTGTGGGTCACAGACACACGGTGTAGAAAGGGCAAGAGGGATTAAATAAGAAACGCGCTGGCTCTTAGTGCCAGAGTCCTTTGATACTGAGTCGTGTGTAACCAATGCCATGAGAGAAGCACGCTCACATTCACAAACTGCATTTCCTGTGAGGTGAAGAAGAAAAGCTTCATTGGGTGCAGGATTCTGTCTTGTCACTGGCTCCGTGCTGGAGGAACGGGCCAGGCTGTGTGCAGCACAAGCTTGGTTTCTCGGAACAGGAAGGGGTAGACGTGGGGCGGGGATCTTTGCATATGTGTGGTATCTAAAGGTACTGTCCACTGAGTTAGTTCGCAGTGTGGCTGCTGAGCCCTGTCTGCCAGTGTGCACTGCGGCTTCCCCCATGAAGATCTGTTTCTGTGCGGAGTAGAAAAGGTGGCAGTAGAGACTCCAGACTCTTCAGGCTCCAGCAGCTGCGCTCCAGAAACCGCCACGGAACCTGAGAAACATCAAGTGTGGTTAGATACCTGAGTGGTTGTAAATGCAAAACAGCTCCCAGCCCAATGCACAGGACAGTTTTACCTTTGGATTAACACTAGCTCATCCTGCTGGGCAATGCCACAGTGAGCTGGGCAAGATAGCATACACACGTGATCCCAGTATTTGGGAGGCTGAAGCAGGAGGAGGGTCATAAG